TGTCTTTTACGAGGGAAAGTTCTGGTTCTTTATAGGACGAACATGGGAATGGAATAGGCGACAGCATAGATTCTGTGCTAGCGCGCTGAGAATCTCCGCACACTGCACTCCTTATAAGCTGATCTCTCAATCGATGAAGCCCTGTTACCACCTGGCGGTACGTGGAAGGTTCAATCCTTTGAGCAATTGAGAATGACGACCCAAGGTCGAGGAAACCCGCAGCTTTCTCCGCCATAGGTGTACTGCCAATAACAGTGACTCTCGCCTGATTTAGTGCATTCTACACTTCTTGAGTGGTCATTGCTTCCTACTGGTGGTTTGTAAAAGAGTCGGTCCCATTGCAGGAACCATTTCCGTGTTGCTCGTTCCTGAGGGTGTTGTACTTAGCTTTTGCTGTTGCTTTTGCCCTAGATCGGATAGTGTCACACACCTCCTTCGAACCACGCTCAATCGCTTTCCAACAACGACCACGCTCAATCGCTTTCCAACAACGATCTGACAAAAGCCGTCTACAAGATTCGTCCTTCGCGTTACATTTCAGTAGAGTACAATATGTACTACTTTTGTTTAATAGCAACACCTAGGACATTACGGGAAATGTTTACCGTAATATCCTAAGTGTTGCTATTGATGTTTACACGTAATTTTTATCTCACGAGCGTCAATGGAGTCTCATTGTTCCCTTGCTGTTCACGAAATAGAGTGGGCGACAATACTGGTGGAACCGAAAGACCTGAAGGTAGCTCTGAGCTCTTGGTCTATGGCTCACCTGACCCCAGAAACTCAAACACCGAAACATCCATGTCAAGAAACCAACATTGGTTTCTTGACATGGATGTTTCGGTGTTTGAGTTTCTGGGAGTAGTTGCAATTGGCCGTTTGTACTCTTAGTCAGGTAAGCCATAGACCAATAGCTCCGAATTACTTTCAGGTCCTTGAAGACGACGAGCTAGTCGAAACGTTGACCTAATAAACGGTTCCATCATAACAAACCTGTACGACAAAGCATTGTGAAATATTACGTGACATGCCCAGGTTTCAAGAAGACCGAAGTGGAAACTACTAATACGGAATTTTACATTCGGGGGAGTTACTGTAGGGATTGGGGCAGTGCTGAAATTCTGTTCTGTGAACGAGATGGCTTTGACCACATCCATTTTCCCTGGCACGGTAGAACCCCTTCTTGGGTTTCACTATCAAATTGGTCTGTAGTTTTTTCCGTACCGCTAATCGAATCTTCACCATGAATTCGTAGTAATTGTATGCCGTTACGGTTTCGTATGGATTTGGTCATACTCGAAAGTACGAATCCTCAATTCATTGGATTTTCTTTCCTTCCTTACCTTTTTTCTTGAACACTGGAACAAGAGCAGGTTTGCCTACGGTATAATGAGGTTACGGTAATCGGCAGCGAGGCACAGAAAGACCTGCGCAGTTGACCTGGTGACCTGCCTGTAATCACGTGATTGCCACAGGGCATCGACGTGGCGGTCATCCATTGGGGTCGTGACAGTTGTCCTCCCTAACCAGCCGTCGACACTGTCGTTTTTCTGTTGCAGTGCTCTCTCATTCTCCAAAATAGTAGTTTGGAGTATTCGACGAATTCATCATTCCTACCGCCATTTTCCAAGACGACTTCATAGCTGTTGGTTACGTTTGGGGAGCGCTTTTAGCTCGAAATGCTGTTGCTTTCTTATGCCCTCCGTTCTGCTTTTTACTCTTTAATGCTTTTTTATAAAGTGGAATTTGGGCGATCTGATTGAAGGATTAGATCAGCCTCTGAAATATACTTCTGATACTTTGGAGTTTGAGGAGATTTTTCGTGTTTTGCTAATTCGATCTATTGAGTTTGATGTATTGACGTTTTCCACCGTCGAAAGGTTCTTTCCAGCATCATGATTCCACATAAGAATCAGCTAGCGAAGTCCTGGCAGTTTCAAGCACTACAGAATTTTCCGCTAGTCTCTGATTTATGCGCACGATTGTGTTACTTAGGTAGGTTTCACTGTTTGCTGATTTTCTCAAACTTCTGATCCTAGCTATGACAATAGGTGATTGGGAAAAGTTGATAATGATTAATTTTATGTACTCCAATAGTATCTATTAAGGAGTGGTGTTTCTTGGCACCACTGATTCTTCAATGTTGCGATCCAACACCAGTGTTGTGACGGTGGAGGAAGACCACACTGACGTTGAACCACCAAAAGGCGATTCTCCATTTCTAAGCTCAGGTAAAAAAAAGTTTTTTTGCAGTTATGTGTACGAATGAAATTTTGAGCTTGTGCGTTGTTCAGAGCTTTGACAGTGACCGTAGGAAAATTACTCTCGTAGGAAAACTTCATAGGTCATTTCCGAGATTTTGCGCAGGCACGCTGCCGACGTCGTGGAAAGCATGTCGGTAATGAAGTCCTAAGCTTTGGAGGGTGCCTTGTTTCACAAAGAATCATCGAGTAAAAGGATCAGTCTCAGATGCCATCATTCTGTAAAAGGCATCCTTCATAGTTTGCGAGTTAGCGAATCGCAATCTCTGCGAGGCGAAATTCCAGCACGGCAGCGAGCTTGTGGATCGCGCTCGCTGCCCCTCGATCGTGTACAGTCGCGCACTTCGAAGGGAAAGGTTTGAATTCCCAGCGAAAGGAAAGGTAGTTGCCGCCGGACCACTGCCGCTTGCTGTAGGAAATTCGGGAAGAAGTGCTGCCACCCGTGTTGTCATCGGCGGTGTGACTATGCACATTCACTGTATATGTGTTTTTACGCATATACAGTGAATGTGCGTATTACTGCGTAAAAACGCAATCACTATGAATGCGCACAGGTCACCCAAGCAGGCGATGCTCAACTCAGAATGTGTAGTGGTGCATTGTTTACACTACATTCGTTGGCGCTCCGTGAGGATATGTAATAAATCACGACGATTTTCATTTCAAAAGCTTCACTCTTGCTGAGTATGCCTTTTCTATCCTGTTTGAATCTCACGGTTTTTTTTTTACTTTTCTCGTTATAGTAATTAGCAAAGCTTGCAAAAAAATTATAGGAAATGAGCAGAGTTGCACCAGATCCACGTCAATCGCCCGCCGTCTGCTCCAACTTTGTGACCAGTTTGAATCGGAGTTCGAAGGCAGAGGAGTATTTTGCGATGCGGCAGAAAGTGATCGTGTGGACGAACTGGTAAAATTTTAGCTATTTTTCATTCGAATTCGTATTGCTTTTTGCCAGATAGTTGCAATGCTGCAATGCGATTACTTTACGTACTACATGGGTTTTGTAGAAGAAAAAGAAGCCAATTTAGGTCCTGCTCCCGATTCTAGTTTCTGAATCTCTATGGGAGTGGTGTGGATCTTGCACGTGATTCAGACTAACAGAGTTCCTTCTTTAGCGAGTTTTATCGGAAATGCATGGAAGACTAATATCGGCGATTTACATACATGTTGTCGTTTGTTTTTTAACAGCAAATCAAGTTTTGCTTCTTTAGAGATTTCTAAACAACCCACGAATTTTATGTTTAGTATTTGTATGGACATATAGCAGTATATAGAGGGTTTGTTTAATGTTTAAAACAATAGGATAAACAATCGTCGGTTTTATCGTTAGCGAGAGGGCTCTAGATATTAACCACAGTAAATCGTAGCATCTTTTTTACTTATACGAACGCCTTCCCACTGATCCCTAATTTGGCGAGTATTTGAGAAAAGATATTTGAATTCTACTGTAGCCTAACTAGTATTACATGTAAGCCTCTTGAAAACGTCAAAAATCGAAGANAGTGATGAATTTGTTCCTGTTTTGTTCATATTAATAGTGGGAGTAATACGAATATTAATTGTTATTACCTGTACAATGCGAAATTTCATTGGTCGTGAATGTTTGCATATCGTAAGTTTTATATTCATGACATTTATGTTGTCTTCTTGTTTCTAAGCTGTTGGTGTTTTACGGTTTCCAGATATTTGCAGCAGTTTTTGCCATGGGTTCCCATTATGCTGCATAATGTAATATACACATTGTTTTGTAGGACCTATTCATGGTTGAAGGTATGCTGAAGTTTGTTGCAGAAAAATTATAGCATATTTCTATACGCACTGATGTGCGCGGCTTATTTTTATTTCGAAGCTGAGACCATTTCGCTTAGTTTCATTGTGTTTAACCAGATGTTATGGTGCTTCTGTTGGTTCAAAGTTTCATTGCAGTGTTCATGTACTTCTGGTTAGGACTCAGTTTCTGGTGGCGTCATCGCTCTATCCTGTGAATATTGTCTGTTTTATCGTTTCCTGTGAATAGCTTGTTTTATTTGGTCATTATGGTTCCTACTGAACATCATGTTTGGATTACTCTATGTTGTTTGAATAAATGTTCTGCCAGGAAACAAGTAAAGATAAATAGTATACTGGGTAGTAGCCGTCAAATTTTTCATTTTCGGTAAAACTGCTTGTTATAGGAGCAAGGGTTGCGTGCTTGTTTCCTCCAAGAAAGTAATCTGCGTCGTGTGAAAAGGTAAGGGGGTGGGGGGCTGCTAATGGCGCTTCGAAACGTTTTTCAGCTACGGAGTTAGTTTTTTTTTTCAACTAAGCCTTGAGAAGGGAGGAAAAATGGACTAGATGAGATGATTAACTTGTGCAAGGAGCTGGATGGGGAAGAATTGATCACCTAGTTGACCGCTGATCCATTTTCTTCTTTCAAAGGTGCATAGCCTGCTAACATACTAGTCTTGCATAGAAAGCGTAATTACAGGCTAACAGAGCGGGCTACCCAACCCCATGTCATTGTGCAGTAGTCCCTGATATTGAGGAAAACTGGCGCCCCTTCCCCGACTACCTTTTCATCCTTCACCTTTTTCCCCTGAAACTGAGTTGTGTACAGGTAAAGAGTTTTCAGAATCCAGGATAACCTTCGGTTGCTTGATGTGATGATTCGCCTTCATGTGAATAGAGGCTTACGGAGATGCAGTACAAAGCCGAAAAGGTAGTCGTTGTTCTCTCGAAAACATTATGAAGTTCATCGTGTTTTTCAAGTTCATTCGACATCGATGTTGTAACGAAAAATCGTCACAATCGCGTTGAATGGGCTGCTGCAAACTACAGAAATACCGGTTAGCGAGTTGTAGCGAGGCCGGCTTATGTGCAGCTTACTTGCTGTTCATCTTATTCTTGTATTCTCAGGAAAGGAATTTCGGATGATCCTACCCCCTCCAAATGTCACGGGAAAATTGCATCTTGGCCATGCATTAACCGTCACTATTGAGGATGCATTGTGTCGGCATCACAGAATAAAAGGAGGCGTAGTTAGTGAGCAAATTTCATTCCACTCAATACAGAGCTAACTAGTTTTTCCTCGTTTCCACTTTTCACTTAATTAAATCAAGGCGAGATGGATCCCGGGTTTTGACCATGCAGGAATAGCAACGCAGGTAGTAGTTGAGCAAGATCTGTGGAAGAAGAAAGCCATTCGACGGGATCAAATGTCAAGAGAGGACTTCGTTGAGCATTGTCGACAGTGGAGTGAAAAGCAAGTCTTCAAAATCTTTACCTGGTTATAACTTTCTGAGTACCCCGAAAGGGTATCAAGTCGCCCCGAAATTAGTTCAACCTGCTTTTCTAGGAACTCGACTGCGATTCGTGAACAGTTGAACATTCTTGGTGCAACTTTGGAATGGAAAAACGTCTACTATACGCTGAATGAAGTAAGATCATCATCCTTGTCATCTAGCTTTGATTTATCTTCGCATGCTTCTCTCATATCATTTTGATAATCAGTATCTTTCAAGAATTTTTCATCAGCCGTCACCGAAGCATTTGTCAGACTTTATGAAGATGGGTTAATTTACCGAGACAAAAGAATTGTGAATTGGTGCCCTTCTTTGCAGAGTTCTATATCAGATCAGGTGAGCGAATTGGACATATACACACCTAAACCTCCTATGCCTCTCGACAAGTTGTCATTCATATACTAGGAGGTAACTCGCCTGGATTTCTCATCCCCCACAAAGATTGTCGTTCCATGTGCTGAAGGAGGAAAACGCGAAGTTCAAGTAGGGACTATGTATTCCGTCATGTATCCTTTGGAGGGGTCAGATAGGTAACTTCATGATTTTTTTGTTTTTTTACTGAAAGGCCATCGAAAAGTAATGCTACTGCTAGACTCATTCCCGTTGCTACAACTCGTCCAGAAACAATGTTCGCAGATGTTGCGCTTGCAGTGCATCCAGACGATGCTCGCTATTCTCAGTTTGTTGGGAAAGTTGTAAGTGAGGATGAAGCTGTTAGAGTTTGTAGTTTCAGACCCTAAAACAATTCATGAGTCATTAAGGTGCGTCACCCTCTTCGTAAGGATTTGAAGATCCCTGTTATCGCTGATAAAAGTGTACAGATGAACAAAGGGACCGGTACGTGTATTTGCGATCTTATGAAGGATGTGCTCATCACTGGCTGATCAATATCCGTAACCCAGGTGTATTGAAAATTACTCCTTCTCACGATGCCCTCGATTGGGAGATCGCGTCACGCCATCGAGAAGAAATTCTTGGTCAAGATCAGAATGCATTGAGCAGAAATTGTATTGACGTTCATGGTAGGCTCAACCAAGAGGCGAATGAGTTTTCGGGTCTTGATCGTTTCGATGCAAGGCTTAAGGTGAAGAGTATTATTTTTCACTGACAATTTTTGAGATATTTTGCAGCTTAATTTGGAAATTTAAGATTATCGAGAAGTTGAGTTCGTCTGGACATTTTGGTGGTACTATCAAGCATGACGGTCAGGTCAGTCTTTGCAGCCGAACAGGTGATTTTTACGGTTCCTTTACTATCACATCTAGATTTGTTTTTCTTCGTTTTTTCAAATGATGCAGTCGGGTCATAGAAAATAAAAACGGTTGGCGTTGATCAATACTATTTTGGAATGCGCGGAACACTCAACTTCCGTTCAGAATTTTAATTGGATTTGAATGCTCACATGGCGTACTCATTAGCTTGCTGTAGCCAATCGATGTACATGTGGATGCATTTATCCTCCTCTACGATTCTGTGCCAGTATCCAGGAGTGCAGCACTTTCTTGGCTTTGGTGGGAATCAATCCGTAATTTGATCCCCGAACCGCGGTATAGTCTCTTTTCTTCACATAACATGCGTCCTCTTAAGCACACTCCCAGTGTAGTGCTCGCGATGGTACCCTTCAGGATAGGTACTTTCATTGTTTCAGTGAAACATATTTTCAGGTGCCTTTGACAAGGATCATCAAATTCGTAGTAGAGTTAGATTTAGCGTAAGCAGTTTCCCTGAAATAGGCTGAAAATGTTTCGGTATATGGGTACGTACAAGGGCAGGGAACCGCTTTCGTGGTTGTCTCCGAGCGCTCACATACTCAGTGGCAGACGAGTCAAAGGCTTGGGGAAAGCGATAGGCGGCGAGTGTCGATGAATATAATACGTGATCGACAGTCCATGACTCATGCTTTGGCTCCTTTAGAAACTCCAACACGCCTCTCTATTTCACTATTCATAGCTCTCTGAGAGAACCTTCTCTTTGAGGTATCTGACTTTTTTTAATTGTTTCCTCTGACTAGCTTAGGTATTTCGCTAGAGCTTTTCGACTGGAAAATTTAACTATTAGGTGATGTTGTCGAACCTCGTCTCACTGATCAATGGTTCATGAACACCGAAGGACTTTATGAGGACGCACGGCAAGCTGTTGAAAAAGGAAAAGTTGGTTAGATTTGTTCTGAACACACATACATAATATACATGGCAGCTGTCTTGAACATTCAACCTTAGATCAGAATACTTCCTAAAATTCATGAACAAAAGCTCTTTGATTGGTTATCGAATAAGGATCCATGGTGTCTTAGCAGGCAATTGTTGTGGGGACATCGTATTCCGGCATACCGTTCGGGAACGTGAGTTATTGTTACTTGCTGTTTGCTTTCAACACAGGGCCTCGTAAAAGTACTTGAAGCCTTAGAAATAGTGTTTTTATTCAGTTCGCCAGCGTAAATGTTCTCTGTTCAGTTCATCATGGTTCGTAGCGAAATCGCTAGATCACGCCCATGATCATTTTGGCCGAAACGCTGAAATATTGCAAGATGATGATGTGCTGGACACTTGGTTTAGGTGAGAGTTTGTTCGTTTCCCTTTTGACGAGATTAAGAATGGCTATAAAATGCTTCCTCATCTAATCTGTGAATTATTGTTTGAGTAATCGTGTCTGCCGTGAGATTGCTTCCCGTTACTGTTTATTGTAAGGTTGGAGAGTTCTGCCACTCTACTTTGGGATAGCGTAGGATCTGGAGTATTTCTGAAATGTTTCAGCTCATCATTGATACCGCTGGTTAACGCTGGTTGGCCAGGCCCGAACTTCAATTCATCGGTGCCCCTTTTAGACGTCATGGAAACCGGATGGGATATACTTGGATTCTGGGTTGCTAGAATGATCATCATGACAATGAAGTGAATGCTTTCGATTTTTCTGCCTATATTTTTATTCTCTTGGTTCTTAGACCAGCTTTTTAGTCGGTTTTTATTTCAGGTTATCCGGTGGGCAGGTGCCATTTAGCAATGTGCTTCTTCATGGTTTAGTCAGAGATTCAGCCGGGAAGAAGATGAGCAAATCCCTTGGTAACGTTATCGATCCACTTGATGTTGTGGATGGGATTACTAGAGAAGAAATGATCAAGCGAGTTGAAAACAGCAATCTCTCAAAAGAGGAAATCGGTAATGAACCTGTGAAGAAAGCTCGGTGATCATTTTATCATTTAGGGACCATTTATTTCAGTAGCAGCCACTTCAGCCATTTCCACTCGCTTTCCTGAAGGGATAGCTCGAGCTGGCCCAGACGCGCTTCGTTTCGCTTTGTTACGTCACGACTTGTTGGCTACTGATATTCCCGTGAACATAGCAGACTTATCGAACGAGGTATTATTTCATGTGGTTTTCCATTATTTGGAATGCAAAGAGAGCCATTGGAGAAAAGACAATGTTTTGACCTTCAATTAGAGTGGTTTTTAATGTTCCTGGTACAATCAAAAACTTCCTCCAACGTTTAAGACCGAAAAGAGATTTGTTTGATGAGTGCTGGGCTGATTATCAGTGGGAGGTCACTCCTCATTGTTACAATTACGCGGGTTATTTGGATGAAACAAGCCATAATGACTACAGAACACTGACGTTTTCAAATTTGATTGCCACTTATTTCATGATTGTTCGTCTACCTCAGTGGAATTGACGGAAGGACGGGGACTCTAGAATAAGAACTCCATTGTGGATATATGGATGATGAAATTAAACTATTCCAGGGACTTCGCTTTTGTAACAAATTGTGGAATTTGGTGACCTACATCGAGACGGTAACCGAGAGCTCGCAAACAGTAAAGGACGTGGATTCTGAACATCCGGCGGTACGTGTGTCGAATATCAAGTATGATGCTACAGTAGTGTGGTAGATGATTGGGGCGGTAATCGAAAACTGTAGTGGGAGGAAGTCTGTCCCAATTTTTCCTAAGTCGATTTCTGTTTCGAATGGCTAAAGTGTAGACATTCAAAGAGTAATGGATAACTATTTTGAAGATGTGCGGAATGCCACTATTGGGAAACATATTGGGCGAGAGTTACAGGAGAACTATGACGTAAATCGAGTTGAGAAAGAGGGGAACTTCACGGAGAGCGAACTCTTGAGGCTCAAGAGGGTCGCATTCTTACCACGAAGAACGCAGTATGCCATTCGGATAGGACGTGCTCTCAGAGGCAGGCAAAAGGGTATAGTTCTTGAGGGATGTTTGGAACAACGGTATATGTTCCCTATACCAGATCAAGACAGAAGGGCTACCTACGCTATACGAGGGGAACTTGAAAGGCGAGGTAGTTATCGTTATCGACCTTCAACGTTCACCCCTCCTCCCTGACTACTACAGCACCTCTATATAATCTTGAATAGAATTATTTTTTAACCAAGGAGAGCATTTAAGGATGAATGGATTCTGTCACGGTTAGGAGCTACATTGGAACGGGTAGACAAACACATGACGGAATACATGCCACACCTTGCCTTTGCAGAGTTGCAAAACTTTATTTTGGGATCACTCTGCGATGTGTACCTGGTGAGTTCATTGCATTTAGTTTGAATAACCTCTCAACCATCTATTAGGATTTCTTGCCTCTTAACAGAGAGCTATTCGTAATCAATTCAGGAGACCACCAAAAATGCACTCTGGACTAAAAACTTTGCCAGAATCGCAGAGATTCGTACAACATTGAGTCGCGTTGTGCAACCGACGCTTGTCCAACTTTCTGTCTTCATGCCTTTTGTGGCTGAACATCTTTATGAACGCGTGTTCAAGAGAGAGCCTGGTTCCATCTATTTTGATTTTGTTAACGTACGTTCCATTTGCTTGGTTTCTTTTGATTTCATGTGATGCACTGCAACTTAAGTTTACTTTCGCAATAATTGATTTTTCATCTGTTGGAGAAATTATTTAGGCTTCCTTCTTTCGGCTGCAGAGATCCATTGAGCTCGAGTCTGACATGGACATTGTACTTAGAATAGTTAGCACTATACGATCCTTACGCAGTCAACTTCAGCTGCCTTCTTCAATGGTTTTTAGAGGTAATCTTTCAGTTTTGCAGTTTTATTGCCTTCAGACAGACTATCTTATTGGCACATTCCTAAGAGCATTGTAAACTGAAGTTTGAACGCGCGAACGCACTTTATCTTAAGAAGGATGAGTAATAGAGGAAAAAACAGAAGGAAAAACGAATTCGTCTTTCTATTTTTTTCGTATTATATTTTTATTCCTCTAGATAATGACAAAAGTAGAGGAACGGTTTCCATGAGAAAAACGAGTATTGTTAAAAACCTTCCCTGAGTGTTCTACTGAGGATGAACGATGATTCTTGACTTTGCTGAATTAAAAAGCGAAAGTAGTATGAAGCACGACGCATTTCCCATCGTTTTTCTTGTGCTTTTTCTCTCTTTTCCATCAACGTCACTGGGAAAACAAAAGCCGAGGTGCTAGTTTATTGCGATTGTTTCATTGCTAGCGATTTTTTCTGTCACGATAGATAGATACATTTATTTCTGTACATTATAGAAGTTTTGCAGGAGTGTTGCATTGTGATAATGCGTCTTCTGACTTTGCCCGACTTTCATCGATACTTTTTGATTTGGCGAAATTTGATCTATCAAATGTATGTTCTCTCGATCATGCCGTTTCGCCAGGATTTACAATTTGTCCTCTTCCTGGAAGCAGTGGCCACTTATCGCTCAAAATTGAGGTTAGCTTTTGATACTAATTGATGAAAGTATACGCATAGCTCGCCTTCCTCAAGTTCCAGCTAATGAATTTTTATAGCCAGCATTGCTTTCACAATGATGTTATGGCTCTCAGGGTCAATGCACTCTGGAATAATAGATTTTTTCTGGTAATTACGATTCCACGGGCTCTTTGTGTCACGTGATGTCGACAAGGACGACGGACGACTTGTTTAGTAAAGTGGAACTCAGAATTAGTCGTGTTTGGAGAGCCGTAGAACTCCCTATCCAAGCCCACCCCGTGTAATTCGTTGATGTCACTGCAAAGTAACACTCGAGCCTCTCCAGTGTGATAATTTGCTACTGTTTGATATCATTAGGTCATCACGCTATTATTAGCATGATTCAATTCCTGCACAAAGCTTCTTTATCGACATACGGACATGTGAAATTGTAGTTCACCAGCTCTGATTCGAAACTAGCTCTTGTCAGTTTTTCATCTTCCCCTCAGTAAATGGAAAGGAAGCAATCTAAGAGGTATTCGCATGACTGTTTCGGAGTTCAATTCAAAACGGCGAATTTCGCACACATTTAATTTGCTGAAAACTAAAGTAGAAATCCGAGCTTATCAGGTTTTTCAAGGAGTCTCATCGAGCTGACTTCATTTCCCGGTTGGAGCGGCTCCTAAACAAGTATGAAGAAAGGAGGGAACAGTTCCAAAGAAAGGCGGAAAAATATGAGGGCATTGTGCTCAAGGATAAGCAAGAGGGCAAGGTGAGTGTTACCCAACTACAAGCAACCAATTGACTGAAATGTTTTTAGGTGAAGCCACACATCATCAATAAGAACGAGAAGAAAGCTAGTCAAGCACGTCATGTTGCCGAAAGCGCCTCCGAAGAAGCGAAGAAGATCAGAGTTTTACTCGAAGAGATGTCATCGTGAGAGTAGCGACTTCTTTTTCATTGTTGTCTTCATAACGGGTAACCTACATGGATTTACTTCCATTCAAATGCATTATGATTTGTTATAAATAATGGTAGCGCTTGTTATTAGCCGATATCATGAATCTATGCAATTCTTCGACTTTCCTTTTATTGTTCTCATCTGATTAGTCTCATCTCTTTGTTGAAGTTTTTTTGGTTAGGATGTAGGTCTGACATCTAGCTATTGTCATAGATATTAGGTTGTTTATATGTTGCACTGTTACGAACGTTTTTTTTCAATTGATAAATCAATTAGGATCTTTTTTTTGATCAGTGGCAACACTGAGGGTTGTATCCAGTTATACTGAGCGAACAGTTTTCAAGTCTGTTGCTCTTCATCCAAAGCTAGACTGCACAGTCGTGTGAGGATGAGGTGGCCATAAATGCGGGTCAGGGTGCCTATGCGGAAGGCGAGTTTCGAAGTTAATGCACCCAATGTCGTCGAGATTCTTTTTCCAATCTGGCCTTGAGACTTTTCAAGAATAATTTTTCCATTTCATCAGTGAACGCAGAATTATCTAGATTAGTCTTTGTCCTACCTTGATTCAAAAGCGCGATAACAGTAGATGAGGTTCGCATGGAGAAGACAAGGGTTAGTGAAGATTGACCAGGTGTAGGTGCTTTGTGTTGAGAAAAAACAATGCAGCAAAACTTCCTTACTTGCCGCGGCCTTTGTTTTGTTGTCCATCGATTTCGTTGAGCAGTTTTCGATAACTTCATTCACACTGTCTCAAGCCTGTGTATAGCTCATATTCTCCCCATATTCTTGCTAAAATTATTGCTTATACAGGAAGTTTCTTGGTCTCGTTCCGGGGATATAACCACTGTTGCAGCTGTGGTCCAATTGATGTTGTAAAGTCCGTCCTACTTAAGGTCTAGTCGTGTTTAAGTTTGCAATGTACTGATGGACTCGTGAAATCTGCGACTGCAGGGGTCGCATTTCAGGACAGGCAGAGAGCTCATTATAACGTCATTTGACAGATCCAATTCGGACTCCGGTTTGTACTCTCTTTCTCGGTAGATGTGAGAAAAAGTAATGTATATGGAAGGAATTCAAGAACCTACCTATTTCAGAAGCGTTACATGCGACTCCCTTATTGACGCTCCGCGTGATTCCGCGGAGCTCAATCTTACTTTTCATCTTATCGCCCCTTTCGACTGACTTTGAATCACTTCCATCAGGTTTGCGCAGCCCTGCCGTATACGTCAAAGCTGCCGGAACCGGTACCGTAACCGGTACCATATCGGGATGTTCCCTGTCGCGAGTCGGAATGGTCAGGGAACCTTCCCCACTCAAGGGATGCAAGACATAACATTCCTTTCTTCCACTGCTTTGGTTAAGAAGTCTGACCATCGCGCTGGCGGTCGTCCCGGTGCTCGTCCGAAGGCATCCAGTCAGTTCTCGGTGCTAGGTCGTCCATCATGTTGGCTTCTTGATCTAGATGCAATTAACTATAGCACTAATAGATATTCGTTCTGTTCAGCATGAAAGGAGCATCATCTTCTTTTTCCCGTTTGCCATGCGTATCTTCTCTATTAGGTGCTGACAAAAGCCGATCTTTCTATAAGCGTTGTCGAACTCGGCCGACATTTGTTCCGGCTGCTCGATATTCGGTGCTGTAAGCACGATGTCGTCTGGAAAGTGGGGGTGATGCAAGTAGCCGCCTTCGACGTCCACTCCATGACTCCCCAATGCTCTGGCGATTTGACTGCTCTCCGGTCGGGTATGAGAGGGTTTACATGGCTTCTCGCTAGACTCTCCCCTACTTCTCCAATTCCTAATGAGGGCTACCGCAGACTATCCTGGCATACCATAATCCATTTTGATCGTTGAAGACACCCTTCACCCAACTTATTGGTTTCATTGGCTGGCCAAGTGATCTTACATCTGGTAATCTAGCCTTCTTTATGCTCTCTGCTCAGGGCACATGGGTTTTTTACAGTGGTGATTTGAAAATCCTTCGAAAACACTTGGCACGATGAATCACTGCTCCTGAAAAGCCACACATATCACATGCTCGGGTGAGCACGATGGCATTCGAAGCGTTTGTTCTTCGCTTGGTTTCTCATCATTATATGATTCTTCGTGACCCATTCAAAAACGTCGAATGTCCAGTGGTTTGCGCAGTAAAGTGCTGAGACACTCCGGAAAATCCGCACAGGAATCCACCGTCATGTCAATGTAACCCCTTCTTGGGCGGAAATTCATTCGCGTTTTAAGCCCGTATTGCAAGCAGAAAAGTTGCGAGACCTATTAGAACTACTGAATCTTTTTTGCCCAGCTTTATTTTGTTTTCTGTTGAGAGACACATTCCGCAACAGCAGATATGGGTGTTTGAGCTAGGAAATGAAAATGTAGGGGTTAGATGGTTCATCAGTATTGGGCCAACTTGATTCCTTGATGTGTATCGCAAAAGGTAGAGATGGGTGCTCGGACGAGCTCTTGTATTTTAGTTCAATATCGGATCCTACGATATCATCATTACCTACACTTCTACAGGCTCGGGCTTACTGTTACCGTAATTAACTACAAGCCCCTATTGCTTCATTGACTCATACGTTTCAACATGCTGCTTGGCTGCTCATTATAGCATTTCTTTTGAAGTTATAATCAATTTAGTGCCTCATATCGTCATTATTGACACCTAGCATCTTTCCAGTGGTGTTTTCGGTTGTGTTCAATCAAGAAGGCATGTGTTTACAAGAGAGGCGTGATGCAGGGCTCATTCTTGAAGCTTTCAATGAATATGCGCGTTCATGGGTTGGTACTCTGGAAGTGACCGTTGTACCAGTCTGTAGATCTATTAACAAGCTTGGTTGCTTTGAGGTCCTCTCTTTCCCAGCTGCAAGCTTATCGTAGTTTCCATTCCTACTCTGTCTGTAGTAGTAACGAGCAAATTTTTCAGCTTCAGCCCCTGTTAATAGGGCAGGGAGCAGATCATCTTTATCACTATTACAGATACTTTCCTCCGTATACATGCATTGTTGAATCGCGGCAATTGTGATCGATAATATTGTTGACTGAAAACAAGTTTCCACGCCCGTACAAGCACAGATTTTTTCAATGGACTAATGCATTGCTTCAATTCTTTTTGGGGAAAAGCTGGTCCTTCCTAATGATGTGTGTTTCTTTTTTCCTTAATCTCAGCTGACTACTTGTTCGTCTACGAACTGGTCAAACAAAAACGGACTGGGCACTTACGCTGACAAATCGCACAGAATTTTCAAACGACTTTTCGATGCACAACATGAACTCATTTAGCGTTGTTTTCGCTCTTCTATACTCGATAGACCGTTTAGCTCCCTATTTGGGAGGGGCTAAACAGAGAGCAAGAGAAAAAAACGTTCAATATGTCTACAGTATGAGTGACGCTGACTATTCCTCGAGAGCGTGATGTTGCGTTCGAAGAAGCTTGAATAAATCAAAGCCAAGGCTCATGATTGAAAGGATTTCTTAGATTTCTCTCTAGAATGATCCTGTGACCCTCGAAGATCGCATGAGGGACAACTTCGGATTGAAAAAGGGCCTAATTAGGCAATAATCAGATCCCCAAAACCGGTTCAGCCGACGAACACACCCAAGGGCGGACGAGTTCTCGCGTTGTTGTAGAGATTGCTGAGATTGCGCCTACCGCACCAGGACGCTTACGCCGCACCCAGGCAGCCTGCTGTAGCCAGACGTACGCAATGGCACGCACATTTTAACATCTCGTCCAAATACCCCTTCCATGCAACTTTCGTCGTCACAATCTCGTCCAACCCCTAATTTTACTACTTTTTTGGAGCCCTATGTTTCTTTGACTACGCCGATTTTCGTGTTTTCTTCGCCCACTTTTGCACTTCTTGAACTCTCTCTTCTTCGTTCGCTTCCATTACTAGCCTAGAACTATTAACCACAGAATTATCGTGAACTGCACTTTTATCTTATCGCAAATCCATTTTTCCAAATTGAAATTACCGATTTTAAAGTGAGCACTTAGCCTATTTTTCTGTGACCACGTGGATAACTTACTATTCCAGGCCTGGATGGATAATATAGACGGGACAGAATGGACTGTTGTAATCGCCATGTTGGTTCATCTTCTGATGGCACCGGGAACAAAAGTGGAGGAGAGCTTCAACGTACAGGCAACTCATGACTTGATATACCATACCTACAACATTTCTGCGGTGAGGATGAAATTCCAGGTTTTTTGTAATATGAAATATTTTTTACTTCATATATCAGCGTTCAGTATGACCACAACGACTTTCCTGGAGTCGTGCCGAGGACATTCGCTGGCCCAATTTATCTCGCACTATTTGGCCTTCCCTTCCGATTTGTTTTTTACCTCACTCAATCACCAAAATTTTGGATGCTGTTTGCAGGTTTGAGATGAATACTGATTTATGCTTTACCAAGTTTCAAAAAAATATTGCAAACTTTTTCAAGTCCGTTTTGTACTCGGAATGACAGTCGTAATAGCTTTCCTGAATTTTGCCAGAGCTGTTCGTAAACACTTCGGAACCGAAACAGCTATGTTTTTGAGGTAAGATTCCATATATCTTCCAGAAAATCTTCACGTCTGTAATTAAATGCACCTTGAAACGATGCAGTGGGTCGTACGGTACAGCTGGGTGCGCTGGCGCAGCTACCATACCTTTGGTCCAGGGTCAAGTTTCCAGCTGATGAGTACCGGCTCATCAGGTGGAAGTACCGGTTGATCGAACCATGAGCTGGGCCCTGGAATGAGTAATACAGGGAAACAAGCATTACTATGATTCCTGATGGAAGTGACGGCTCATCTCAAGAGCGGATCAACTCTACTGACTCAGAGGCAATGGAAGATCTTTATCTCCCCTTTGTCGTTTGAATAGAATAGAATAAAGAATAGGAAACGGTTCAAAACAAATGCTAATGTTGTTTCCCGCTGTTTATGAGTGCTCCATAAGTCGGAGTCTTTCTTATGGGATGACCCAAGTTGGATTTTACCATAACGGGTGGTACTTTCGGGTTTCTTTCTTTGTTTGTTCACATTCCTTTTTTGAAATACCAAAGCAGCGGTTGAGAAATTGTTGGCGAGCATCAAGAGGCATTGCTTTGAGAAAGGGTAAAAAATCGCTCAGCATCTTCCTTCGAAGTCAGCAACATGGAGTGTTCCCTTGATAGAATAAGCATTTGGATACATTCCATTATGAAGCTGAAAACAAATGTTAAATTCTCTCCGTCAGTGGACGCATCTAAACTTCTTGCATATTCCTAGATATTACTGTTTCAAGATAAGCTTTTTATGATAAGCAGGCGAAGGGAGTCAGTCTTTTTTTCATGGGTCAGTCATCAAAAATGGCATTAAAAACGTTTTTGTTCTGTTGGCAACCTTTGGGCCCGGGTGTCATCTCATCATCATCATAAACATTCAGCGAAAAGCGTTGCTCTAATCGATCCCTTCTCTACATTCATGACTTCAATCCTAATAGGAAAATGCTTCCGGGTTAGCCGGTGGAATCAATTTTCACTGTGAACCGGAGAGCGATAAGTGTTAAGTCTGTTGGTGTGATGTGAAGGCCAGCGAACATTTTCCGCTACAGTTACACAATATACATTGGGTTGTCCGAAAAGTTTCCGCCGATTTTGAACACCCTCGGTTCGTCAACTGTTGTACAAAAGATCAAAGACCCAATCTCATGAAGGTAAGTGTTTTCTGAAAGAGTAGGTCCTCTCCTATATTCCTATTGGGATTATGTCAACATTCGTCAAAGTTCGCCTGTACAGGACTCGTGTGAAAATTGAGCACCATTGCGTGCATTTTCGGCATCTGAAGGTTTTCTTCTACCGCAAGGCCTAGAATGGGCTCAAGCCGCGAGAAAAACCTGTGACTAGAGTATCGTGCAAAAGGTGACTGGTTCGCGGGATCCGAACAGAATGAATTTACCTTCGAGGACTGGCAACCCTCAGAGAGACTATCATCAG